AAAGTGATTTGCCCAAATGATCGGATTTTAGTTAGTGGATCATGGTTCCATAAGAAGGGGAATCTCTACCTAGGAATATCTTGATATGAAAAATATTGAAAACCACTGTTTGTAGTTACTTTATAAGATTTGGAGTGAGGCATACAGATTGCAGGAGGGAAAAATTTGGAGGAGGTATCAAGAAGCAACTCTGTGTGCCCATGGCTGGAATGCTAGATGCAGTGGCAGCATTGCTGTAAATAGTTCTCTTAATAAAAATAATATAATTTTAGAAACATCGAGTCTTTATGTTATTACTCAGTATGCTGTACATAAAACAAGGGGGCAGTGATCATCTAGGCCAAATCTACACAAAGGGAAAGGTCGACTTAAGATACTCAACTAATTACAATGCTAATTACGTAGCTGAAGTCAATATTTCTTAAATCACCATCTACACAGTGTGAGGTCAATGGGAGCAAACACAGTGTGAGGTCAAGTGGGCCTTCACTTGACCCGCTAAATTGAACAGCACCAGCACTGATTTTCTGTGTAGTGTAGACATGACCTTAGAGAGACCCATAGCACAGAAGAGACTTTGTGAGTAAAAGGCAAACAAAGCAGCACCTGGAAACAAAGCAAGCCTGAACCATGCACACCTGGCAATGATGGATTTCTGTGCAAAAACCTGTGCATAACTATGGAAACAAAAACTGAGTCTGAATGCAAAGTTTACCATAGGGGACAAAGATGAGAAAATGAAGGTAAAACTATTTTACTGTCTCATTGCTGGAAAATAGACAAGAAAATTGGAACAGCTGATAACAAAGTTGGATGAATTGTATGACTCCAGACTCTATAAGAATTCCGTTTGTTTAAATCTGAAACCAAGAAGCAGAAGAGGGAATAGATGAGAATTCCGATATCCATATATTACTTTGGAGACATTAAGGATCCCTTAGTTAGTCACAGCAGCACGATTTGTGGGAGACATAGTTCCGGGAAGCAAGATAGAGACGTATTGACCAAGGATGCTAGGATGGATGGCTGTGATGGTTTTCCTCCCTCCACCCATGTGTTATGAAATTGTCTTATGGACGCAAATATGCATAACTTGAAGATGCTTTGGTCAAATTATCTCAGACAATCTGTCAGTTTTATTGTCAGAGTCTGCTGGCTCTGTATATCTTATTTTGGTGTATATATCATTCTTGTATATAAAGTTAGAGATATGGAATAGGGAATGGCTTATGGTTTTGAATCTGCAAATGAAAGTCATCAAGGGTGTTTCCAATGCTGGGACACCTTAATGTCTGGGTAATCACCTGTGAACAGCCTCTTTTGTCCGTTAATTCTAAGCAATGGTTGGTCTCAGGAAAACATGTGACCACCCCAACTGATAGGGCTTGACCAGGTAATTTTCCATGGAAAGGAAGAATGTGAAACAAAGAATTCCTACCTAAAAGGAAGGCTATTTAAGATGCAAAGATTTTCAGTCTCTTTGTCTTTGGCTGGCATGGCACTCCCAAGAGAATGAACCAGAGACCCCAGGGAAAATAAGATCTTCCCTGGCTTGGAGGTTTAGCTGAAATAAGAACCATTTTAGGGTGTGTTTGCAATAAGCTTGAGTGTGTGTTAGAACTAGTTATGCATTTTCACTTATTTTAAATCTGTAATTCACTTTGCTCTGCCTGTTTTCATTTGCAGCCACTTAAATCCTCCTGTTTGTACTTAATACAATTACATTTATTTACTATCAAGCCCAGTGTAAATAATTGTTACCTGGGGTAGCAATCAGTGTGTACATTCTCCTTCCATTGTGAAAGAGGGCTTACCTAAATAATACATTTGGGGTTCTGATCCTATTTGGGGAGTGGATTTCCTGAAAGTTGGGCCCGGAACTGCATTCTCCTCACACCTGGGCCGTGTCCAGACTCAGGGGTTTTTTCGGGAAAAGTAGCCTTTTCCCGAAAAAACTTCCCCTGCGTCCAGACTCAAGCCGCGTTCTTTCGAAATTATTTCGAAAGAACGCGGCTTTTCTTTCGATGGCGGTAAACCTCGTTTCACGAGGAAGAACGCCTTCCTTCGAAAGTTCCTCTTTCGAAGGAAGGCGTTCTTCAATGTAAAGAGGCCGTCTTCGAAAGAGAGCATCCAGACTCGCTGGGTGCTCTCTTTCGAAAAAGCGGATTTTTCTTTCGAAAGATCCGCCTGCAGTCTAGACGCGATCTTTTGAAAGAGGCTCTTTCGAAAGAAGCCTGCAGTCTAGACATAGCCCTGGAGAGTAGAGATAGGATCTAGAAGAGGTTCAGAGTCTGTATTGTTCTTCAGGGGGAGGGGGCTGAGCAGTGATCTCAGCCCTATACCTTGGCTAAGGGAAACTAGGAGATCTGGCCCAGCAGGACAGGGTGATGAGAAGTCCGAGGATGCATCTACACTGCACCGTAACTCAAAATAAGATATGCAATTTGAGCTATGCAAATTGCATCTCTTATTTTGATGCTATTTCAAAATAGCTTATTTAATCATTTAACACTGTGTACACAGCACCAAATTTCAAAATAAAGAGCTATTCCAAAATGTCCCTTACTCCTCATAGAATGAGGTTTACAGGGACGTCGGAGTAGTGAGTCTGAAATAATGAACTTACTGTAAAGATGCAGGATGGCTATTTTGGGAGACTCTGGTATCCTGAAATAGCATTGCAGTATAGACGTACTCCTAGAGAGCAAGGAACACAGTGTCAGTGGCTTTGTCAGTACTCCAGGAAATACCCTGTTACAGATGCCAGCGTTATAGTAAATGTATGTGGAGAAAAACAAACCGATAAAAAAGAAAAATTCTCAGTGCAAGGGATTCAGAAAGCAGAAATACTGTATGCCCCAATACCAGAAGCTGCCACAGGAAGAAAAAAAAAGTAAATACATGCAGTGACTAAGGATGTAGACTTCCAGTGAAGAGGAAAGTATCTACAGTGTGACTTTAGCAAATCCAAGGACTCTCTCATCTATCTATCTATCTATCTATCTATCTATCTATCTATCTATCTATCTATCTATCTATCTATCTATCTATCTATCTATTCTACTGCTGAAGAAGGCTGCTAGCCATTTTTGCAATTATGCTAATTTATCGATGACCAATTTGATTCTCTCTCAATTGTGGAGTGCTGTAATGTAACCTCAGCAACATTCATAAGCGGCAATATTAGAATGGAAAAATATAACCATGTCCTGGATACATATAATAAAATCATTCTGAGGCCAGTGGACAAATGCAGGCATTATCACATAGAGTTTACACACAGCCATGCCACCGCTGCTATGCAGCCGGAAAGTGTATCTCATTGATTTGGTTGCAGTACAACACTGTAATATCCTCACCATGAGAGAGAAGGCGAATTATAACATTGCAACAGAAAAGGAGAACATCTTTCAAGGAGATGGACACTTGGAGGGCAAGTTAAGTGTTTTATGTTTTTACTGTGAGGTTAATTAACCCTACTCCATGCATAAGTTTACAGGTGTCAGGAATGCTCTTTACCCTGTCAGGAATGCTGTTGGTCACTGCACTGATGCTGAAAAGTGAATAAAGAAATTTCCTACTGTGGACAATACCATACATTACAGCAAATCTCCCTTTTCCTGTCAAGCCATAGTTTGATTTTTCTTCTCTTTTTGGGTCATTATACTAGCTACAAAAGCAATCAGAGTAGAGTCATGTAATTAAACTGCTCCCAGTCCACTTTGTCAGGCATCAGCAGCTAATTTAACTGGTTTGTTTTCTCTAAGTAAAGCCAACAGGCAATCTCATGAGCTTCATGTTTCCAGAAGCTTGAGCAGACTCATTCAGAGCCGATAACTTGTACATGAGAGCCATGCCTTCTCTTCTGATAAACTTTGAGTATTTTCTAAAGGTTACAGGCAATTTTGAGTCATGTATGTATGTTCAAGTGTGGACAAAAGAGAACGGAGGAGAGTAGGACTAAAACCACAAGAGGTGTGTCTAGACTACATGGCTCCATTGATGGAGCCATGCAGATGAGTTTACTAGACATAGCAAAATGAAATTTAAATTTAAATGGCTGCCATGCTGTGCCGATCAGCTGTTTGTTGGCACAGCGCAGTAGTCTAGATGGGGATCAACCGACCCCAGATCCCTTTGTCATCAGATCCTGTAAGCCTTGTTTCATGAGGCATAAGGGATCAGATGACAAAGGGATCTGGGGTCGGTTGATCCCCATCTAGACTACTGCGCTGTGCCAACAAACAGCTGATCGGCACAGCATGGTGGCCATTTTGATGTAAATGAAGCAGCAAATTATTTAAATCGCTGTTTCATTTTGCTATGTCTAGTAAACTCATCTACATGGCTCCGTCAATGGAACCATGTAGTCTAGACACACACAAGGAGAGGAGCTAAATCAAATGTGCATGCTTCTGGATATTGACATTACAGTTCAACTGCATATGAAATAGATCATTCAAGGACCTACACAAGACTTACCAGCTATGTACAAGGCAATTAGAAACCCAAACACAGCACTAATTCCCCTATGCTCACAACTTCCTATGCATAGGAGAGGAATGGATATACACACTTTTCCTTGTACACATTCAGAATTAGTGTATTATGTTGTCTCCCCTTAAGGACATGACTTTTGGAGGGCCTTCTGGGGTGACATTTTTAGGTGGAGTATTTTGTGGCTTTTAATGATGACTGAGAGTGGACTCTGCTTTTCTTTGAAAACAAGCTAAAGTATCTGGACTCTCCCCACATTTAGTGTCCTGTGCCTCAGGTGCTGTGGTTCTTCTATAGTCCCTGACTTTGAAGTATCTGCATGTGTAGATTCTGCTGTGGATGAAATAGCTCATAGAATGATATTCTGTGTCATGTGCCAAGGCTAGTAAAATGGGAAGCACACAGGTTGTAATATCATCAAGGGAACCAATCAGGGGCAAGGACTGTAGAATCTTAACACGGAATGTTTAGCTTTAAGTTTTAAAGCAAACAGTCTGGTGAATTCTGTTTAAATCACAGGAAAGACAGGAGCAGCACAAAGCTGCTTTGCAGATGACAGCAAGAGTTTGTGAGGTTTTTAATTGTTCAGCTTTTTCATTGAGCCACCAGACAAAGAGCCTTGTTCAGCTAAGGAAGTTGGTTTATCTCTTAAATTTCCACCATATAATCTGTAAATTTCCTAATGTTTTAGTTTATAGTTAAATGACATATGTTATATCATTAGGTCAGATCCTCAACAGATGTAAATAAAATCTATGCCAATTTGCATCACCTTAGTAAGAGCACATGTTTTATTCAGTGAGTGTCTTGCTGCACATGTGCCTGTAAACAAAGAAGCAATGATAAATCTATGCATATTTAGCTGAAATTTCAGTGGGATTGTTCTTTCTATAACGGAAATATCAGATAATTAGCATTGTGAAATCCCAGGTAGATTTAAAGTTACTTTTAAGGCTGGAAGAGATACTGTCTTATACCTACTGGAAGCAAAATAACTTTATTTTAGTATCTTGGGAAAAGAGAGGCAAGAACTTCACAGAGAGCAGCACAAAATCCTTCCCATTAGAATATTTAATTTCCCATAGCCTCTGTGATTATTTTCCATGTATATTTGGAGTAAAAATCTCTCTCATCAATCTCCAGCAAAGAAAACCAGGGAACATTTCTTTTTCAAAAAAGCATTGGACAAATCTATGACAAAGAAGTTGTCTAATTCTCCATACTGAAGAGATATCATCAATGGAGGAAGGGAAGGAGCTGTCTGTCCTGTATGTACAGGACACAGTAGAAAGGGAATTGCTGAAGGGTGCCCACACAGGTAAGAAATACACTAAAACAAATCAGAAACCTTCAGTGACTAAAGTAAATAGCTAAAATTCCAATACAATTGTAATCTGTTATAGTTTTCCTTTCTCTTATCTACATGGCTTTATTGGACTATGACAGAGAGAGAACCTTTTGTTGGCTTTCATTTGGAGTAATTTCTACATTGTGACACTGATTGTTACGTTGATTTTCTTTAAAAATCCCACCTGCTATACAATACAACAATATGGTAGCTGTAAATTTATCCTTTGAGAATTGGAATTGGAGAAAAGCTCATATTATTGTGCACACAAGCTACTGATTTTTCATAAACATATTATAATTCAAAAGTGGTTCAGCCTCCTATTTTGAGAAACAGAGAAGAAAAACCCACAGGAGCTCTTTCAGAGGCATGGAAGATGGAGTAAAGGCATATTTGCTCAGTTCAAGCCTGCCATTGGCTAGAAACCTCCCCCAGGGAGGCTTCCGACTGTGGGGTAGCACAAGCTAGGTTTCAGCAGTCCTGAGGGACTTGAGCTGTGGCTATCCCTACCCATAGCATGGGGGCCGCTCCAGCCTGGCCATAGCTGGAACATGAGATGCCCCCACACACACATACACACCTGCCCTGTTTAATCAGTTGGAAAGTTAAACTTAACATTTAAGCAGTTAACTAATTAAACAGGATTTTACATCCCTAGTAAAAACTGGTCTGTACTAAAGGAGGGAAAATTGTACTGAAGACATTTTTTGTAAGTGACTTTGAACATGCATGTTTGTGTGATGCTTACCGAGTTATCTGTTCACATTCCTAGTGTGTACCAGATGAAGTATATTCTCAAAATCAGTTTCTTAAAGCAAGATACATTGTTCTTCCTTGCAAAGCTTTCATCTCATCTCATCTCACCTCCTCTGAGTCTAGTTTCACTGTACTATCAATATACTGAGGAATGTTTGTTTGTTTGTTTTTAAATATACTATCAGACCACCCCTCCTTTGGTTATGATTATGAGAAAGCATTTTCGTTTAAATGAAAAGCTGACTAAATAGACTTCCCACTCCCTCTTGCTCTCTCTTTCTTGCACACATGTACAATCACACAAAAACGGCCTTCTGTGAATTTCACTTGTGGGGTATATTTAAGTGTTGTGGAAATTTCTGTTAGTGACTCTTGCTAAAGTCCAATAGATTACAGTCCCCAAGCAAACATTGACTCTACCACTGAAAATCCTCTCAGCACCTTCGAAAGATAAAGGGAAAATAGTGAAATGTTCATACCAATATCCTTAAATACCCATCTTCTTGTCAGTGATGCACCGTGTTTAATTTTTCTCTTCTAACCAATTTGTGGTTTCAATGTTACAGACAGTGACTGATTTATGACACACTATTCACAACTCTATTTTTTCAAAAGTGTTAATCATGGCTGGATTCTCTTTCTGTTCCAGCTGATGAGAGTATTCCAAGGGAAAGAAAAGAGAAAGATCCTTATCGGGAGTATCCTGAGGAACTGGAACTGCATGGGAAATTACCAGGGATTGCCAAAGCCAATATTTTCCATCATTCTTCTCAAGGGAACCCCTGCGAGAGTCAGCATAGACCAGAGAGCAAGCAGGAAGGTTTTCTAGCAAAGAAATGGTATAAATCAACTCAACCTGAAAGAGATTTCAGCAAACTCCAAAATGTTATCATTCACCACAAAATCAATACAGGTGGAAAACCAAACATATGTGCTGAATGTGGCCTTCAGTCGGAGATCACACCTTGTTAGACATAGGAGAGTTCACACGGGCGAAAAACCCTATAAGTGTCTGGATTGTGCAAAAAGCTTCTGTCAGAGCTCAACACTCATTCAGCACCAGCGAATGCACAGAGGAGAGAAACCTTATCAGTGTCCTGACTGTGGTAAAGGTTTCCTTTGTAAATCAGGACTTACAATCCATCAGAGGATCCACACAGGCGAGAAGCCTTATGGATGCAGTGACTGTGGCAAAAGCTTCAGGACAAAATCCCAACTAGTATCACATCAGCGAGTCCACACAAAATAGGGCCCAGTGATAAAGCTTCCTTTGAGGGCACTGCCTACTCATTCATTTGTCTTTAGAACCATTGCTTGAGGCAGGTTGGGGGAAGTGAGGTAATGTATTTCAGAAAAGATTGATCACTTGAGGCTTATAGAATGAAAATTAGTGGTGGGAAAAACAGTAGAGAAAAAGACCTTGTATCAGCATAGTGGCAGAACTTAGTTTTTAAAGATGTTTGAGGAAAATTTGACCAGAAAAAAAAACTATAGAAGTTGTAAAAGCAATTTAAATAAGCTGAATTTGGTGGAGAAATAATGTATTTCTTTAAACGTCTGGCTTTCAAAACATCTTAATTTACATGTCTGTTTTAAAACATAAATGTTTAATTCAGAAAAGTGATAGAAGTGAAATATTGAGGTTTAGCTCCCAGTTATATCTGAGACTAAAACTTTCAGTGAGCCTCCCTGAAATTCCCTTTATTTAGGTGTACTATCCCCTTATTCACCTCTATTTATCAGAAAACACTAACTTCTGCCTATGTAGCTCATTTGTTAATAATATGAATATGTGTCTAGATAGGAAATCTGAACACTTCCAGATATTTGCTGTTATGTATGTCACTAGAACTGGATCTCAAGCTAAAATTCT